GGCTCTTTCCCGCACTACATTTGCACTACTGGCTGGCCAGGTCTGAGTCCAACTCCACAAGTGAAGCGCCATGTCTCCAAAATGAGCGTTTCGTACGAGACTTCCTTCAAAAGTGAGGCGCCAAGTCTCCAAAACCAGCGTTTCGTACGACTTCCTCCAAAAGTGAAACGCCAAGTCTCCAAAACGAGTGCGTACGAGACTTCCTCCAAAAAGTGAAGCGCCAAGTCTCCAAAACGAGCGTTTCGTGCGAGACTTCCTCCGAAGGTGAAGCGCGACCAATCCAAAACGCAATCTCACCTGCATTTCACGCCCTCGACCAGCACGATCTCCGCAGAGGGTAGCGCGCCAGGCACCAATCCAAAACGCACTCTCACCTGCATTTCGCGCCCTGAGACAAAGCGCAATCACACCTGCATTTCGCGCCCTCGACGCGCACTCCGCAGAGGGTTGCGTGCATTTCGCGCTCTCGACGCACGATCTCCGCAGAGGGTTGCCCGCGCCAAATCCAAAACGCAATCTCGCCTGCGTTTCGCGCCCTCGACACGCGCGATCTCCGCAGAGGGTTGCGCCGGACCGGGCCAAAACGCAATCTCACCTGCGTTTCGCGCTCTCGACGCGCACGATCTCCGCAGAGGGTTGCGTTTCGCGGTGCTCCGGCGGCACCGTCCCCGGCCTTAAGAGAGAAAGTTCAGAAGAGTGAGAGGTCAAGATGTGAGATGTGCAGACGTGAGGATGTGAAGATGAGCAGAGATGTAGATGTCCAGATGTGAAGATGAGAAAATGTAGATGTGCAGTGATGATGTAGATGTGCAGATGTGAAGAGGTGAACATGTAGATGTGTGAAGATGTGAAGATGAGCAGAGATATAGGTGAAAATGTAGATGTGCAGAGGTGAAGATGTGAAGATGTAGATGAGACGTAGTTCTGCAGATGGTTTTCTACGAAGAACCCTTCGCAGGCGCTCTCGGGAAAAACGGGAGAACCTGTGAAAAAAGAGCTGACCAAGAAGGATGACGCCTTGGGCCTTGGGCTCCAGGCATTACGCGCACACACACACACACTAGCAACTGGAGTAAGCAGCAAGCTTGGCCACAGACGACCGTCAACCTGCAAATTTGTTTTGCCCCAACAGTGAAGCTCAGGGGTCTTCAGCTGGAGCAGATCAGCAGGCCGCGGAGCAGGTTTTGGAGCAAGTTGCGGAGCAGATTCCGGAGCAAGTTCCAGAGCAGGTTCCTGCGCGGGTTCCGGGGCAGGATCCGGAGGAGCAGGTTCCGGAGCAAGTTCCGGAGCTATCACAAACTGCCGCACCAGAGCCAACCGCTTGGCATCACCCTGCGCTCAGAAATTTTGGCGCGAGGAAACGGATACAGGGGCTCAATACCTCATCCACCTAAAAAAGATTGATGAACAGAGACTTCTTGTATCTTGGACAGGGCTGGCGACTGGCGTCTAGCAAAAAAAATGTTGGTCGGCAGATTTAATGTTCAAGCTCGTGTGAAGTGGCCACTGAGGAGGGTCCAAATGAGCTTGGCGAAGGTACGAACCAATCGGTTGGGGCGGCCACAGTGTGCCCATCCGGGTCCATGCTTAAGGAGGAGGGTAAGGAGGATGCCCAGGACCAGGACCTTGTTATGCTTTTCCTTGGCCGGCCTGTGGGTTGGATGACAAAGCCCACACAAAGCCAAGTCAGGGAGTGCTAAGGGCAAGGAGGGTCGCCAACAGGGCACAGGTATAGAGTGGAGCCGTGGTAGATCGGAGGAGCCAGCAGAAGTCGTCCATAACCGTGAATGTCCAGTCCACCACAGGAAACAGGTAGCGCGTACATAATCCTCAGCAAAAGGGCCGCTGTGACGACGTGTCTGAGACTTGACTTGTACCTGGCCGACATTGGCCCAAGATCGCACGTGAAAAGGAGCGAGGGCGCGTGTCGTTTCGCTTTGATGGTAGCTCCCCTCCGCGCGTTGTGATGGCGTTGGATGCTCGTTTGGACTTTGGTTTTGACGCTTTGCGGTTGGGTGGGCGCTTGGACTACATCGTCTTCAAGTTCTACACCATGGACGACTTCCCCTCTTGGTCAAGAGTGGATTGCGACCAAGTCTTCGGAGATGACCATGGACTTTGACATGGAGGGCATGACGAACTTCCTAGTCCGGAATTGGGGCCCGACTTGATGATGTGTTACATGATGAAGAATGCCCTGAACCAGAGGTTGGCCTTTTCATGGCCAATGTCATGGTGGAGGAAAACGAGCTATCTTGACCAGAGAGCTTCAACAAGGTCCTGCAGTTTGTGAACGTGATTTTTGGATGGAAGTTGATGTCTCCATGAGGATGCTTGGAGCCAGAACGCTTTGGAGAACAAGAACCATTGAGGGGACGAGCAAAGGGCAGTTGAGCAGAGCAAGATGCTGGAATGGACTGTTGAGACAACGGTTCCAGGTGAAGATGCAACTACAATGCCTGGTTTCTCATCTGGTGGACATCAGGTGAAGCTACGAATTAGCTGTTCACCCACATGATGCAGATGACTGAAGCAGCTATGACAGCCGCAAAGTCATCAGCTGAGGTTGTGGAAAGACTAGACAGGAAGCGGTGGATTCAGTGAGGCGAGCAAAGTGCTGAAAGCGCTCGACATCGATGACCAATTGAAATTTGCCATTTGGTCTGAAAACTTCAAGAACTGAGCAGGTGGAGGGGCTGGGGCAAGCCTTGCAATTGCAGAGGTGGCGACCGCAGAGACAAAGGAGTTGGGTAGCAAGCTCCAATCTTGGCTTCCTACATCAAGGGGCCAGCTGCTCAGCTTGCGCGCGCTTCCTCGACAGGCGTGGCAACAACTTCTAAGTTTACATCTCCCAAGAGCACGCCCTAGGACCATGGCAATTGGTTAGGCGATCAGAGATCATGGGGCGTCCTCAGTTGAAGAGTGGACAAGCCACGATGGAGAATTTGCTTCACTTCGATTTGCTCTTACTCTATACCGGATTGATTCTGGCCTTCCAACTCCAGATGACTTGGTTGTTTCCACTGTCTTGAGGTGCATTGAACCTAATGTCAGGAGAGATTTGGAGCTGACTCTGGACGACAGCATCCACTACTACACTTTCAAGGAGAAATTCAGCTTGGTGGACAAGAACTCGCGCGTGTGGGGACAGCTACTTTAAGCTGGTTCAGAACAACTTGGGCCAGAATGGATCAGCGCCGTATGGATGTCGATAGCGTGAGCCAGGTTGGCCGGGCAAGTCGAAGTGGAACAACAAAAATTGCAAGCAAGGAAAAGGCAAGAGAGGAGGTTGGACACCTTTCGCTATGGCCTTGGAAAGAATGGTGACAACGGCGGCGGAGGCAAAGGGAAGGCAAGGGCAAGTTGCGTGAGACTGGTAAAGGCAAAGGCGGTCTGCCGAATCTGTGGCAGGCCTGGTCATGTCGCAACCCCTTGCCAGGACAATGCCACTCCTATCCTCTTTGACCTGCAGAGTGTGACGACAATGCAAGATTCAGATGAGGAGACGGTGGACTTGAACCAGGAAGTTTTCTATCTGAAAATGGTGGGACTTGAACAGGACATTAGTTTGCTTCCTCACGAAATGGTTGATCCTGGACAATCTCGCTTCCTTGGCAGAGCAGCGCTGGAGGATGGGCAGGGTGGCAAGCTGGCGAGTTATGGCAAGAAGCTTGCGCAGGTTGAATGTTGCCTATGGCCAAGGAACTGTGATCGTTGAGGATGATTTCATTGCAGCTTCCGTGCAAGGCCCATTGGTGAGCCTTGGGAGGTTGCTGCAGAAAGGATGGCGCTTGGGGCCTGCAGAATGTGAATCTGGAGTTCACCTTCGACGTAACTTCGAGTACGAGATGGAGCTTGCGCGTTTTTCCGCTCTTCTTTTAGAACTCCTTGGCGCTATATGGCAAGATCAAAAGGATCTGTCAGAAGCCTGATGAGCTCCAGGGCAAGATGATTTCAACAAGACCAGACAACAAAGATGACAACGATGTCTTGGTGGTGGAGCACTACGGTCTCAAGGCGTGGAAGACAACGCCAGATGGAAACCCGATCAAGTTCCGCTATGAGAGCAGGAACTTCGATGTGAAACATCCATTGGTGGCCTTTGAGATCGACCTTGATCAGAAAAGCTGATGACACTTGGGAGCTTGTGGAGCATTGTGTAATGAAAGAACCTTGCGCTTCTTTGGAGCAGTGGTTGGGTGGTGAACTATTGCAACCGGAGGGGGTAATCCTGCGCGAGGACCTCGGCGTGGGCGTGATGCGAAACAACAAGACACAGATCCTGATATGATCGACAGATGGATGAGAGAGAAACTCTGATGGTGGCATCTGAGCAAACTACAACTGGAATGAGCCCCGGATGACGTGGAGTGGGACACTGGAGAACCTCTTCCCGTACATGAAGCCACGTGAAGAGAGGAGAGCAAGCTGACTTCCACGCGTATGGCCACGCGCCCACACGTAGCGTGTGACTACGCGCTGGATGGGACCGTGAAGAGCAGAATGACCACGCTGTTTCTCGCGTGGCTGAGACCGGGAAGGGAACGCTGAAAAGTTCCTACGCGATGGAAGTGCATGAGGCAGAAAAGCGCCGATAATTCATCGCTGCTTCTAGGTGGGGCGTTAAAGACGACGTGTTTGAGACTTGACTTGTACTTGGCCGACAGTGGCCCAAGATCGCGCGTGAAAAGGTGCGAGGGTGTGCGTCCTTCGTTCTTTATTTAATGTTGTTGGGCTGTGGCCCTGTGGACCGACGAATGCCACTGCCGTGTTTCTGTCTACGTCAAAATCCACAATCCCAATCTTTGTCACCCATGTCACAAGATCAGCTGAAACCCAGCAAACCTTTACGTTGGGAGGCAGACAACGGATTGCCTCTTTGGGCCCATTTCTTTCAACGCGATGTATGTTGAACAGTTTCCACTGGCTGTTGTCACAGTTTACAACTGCTCCACGCAGCTGCTGGTCGACGTTATACTGTAGATTGCGTCATCGCTCAGGACCAGCTCCTTGCGTAGACGGGTGCAGAGTGTGGTGTGATCTCGGCCTGTTTGATGCGCCTGCACTGTTGCTGTAGCCTAGGTGAAGAGCCAGTTGAGCCGCTATCCACTAGATACTGGATCATTGCTTTGACATTTTGAAGCCACCATGTGAATTGCCCCATCTAGCCATGATGCCGTGCGGGCAAGCGAATGGAGTGCGCAGGTAGATGTTCTAATGATTCTAATGATCTTTCTGTGGTTGAAAATGTTTGGGATGGTTGCCCAACTTTTCCACATACTTAAAAAGATGGAATAGTTGAACGAAGTGTGCCTACCAATAGTTTTTGTGGTGGCCAACACAAGGCCCTAGCGCGCGCCGCAAGACATGTTAACAAAGCTGACAAAGCCAACCCCAGGGAAGCCCTACATGAGAAATACAGGTAAGGCGCAAACAGCGAAGGCTAACTCATGATTCCAAGGTGCCTACGCGCGCTTGAGAAATATTGCGTTTCGTTTGAACGCCGCACGCCCAACGAAAACCTTAGCGAAAGCGAAGCAAATCTCAGGTGACCCCGGCGCACGCGCGCGCGCACACACACTTAGAGAGTTGCTCGCAAGAGCTATTGTCAGTATGAAGTTCCCCTTTACACGCATTAGACCTTGACTGAAAATGCATAACGGAAAGGTGAAAGGTCGGCAGACTTGAAAATGTTTGAACAGGTTTTTTACAACAGTGACGACTCGGCCGTGGATCTCTTAAAAATGAGAGAGGCAGGTACGTGCAATCTGCGTCCAGATTGCATATCACGGCAAACTTGAAGTGTCTTCGTTGAGCGGTGACTTCAAGAATGCCCACCGCTCCCTTGCTGCTTAAACTTGAAATGTTGTGGGCCCGTATCATGAGGTTCTGCAATGCTTCAGCAAAATCTAGCTACGAGAACCTTGGGAACAGGTGGCGACACACACAGAGGGCCGGGGACGGCGCACTCTGCATTGGGGTTCCGCTAGGTAGCGACAGCAGCCAAAAACTGGAGCTTTTCCTCTCAGGGCTTGACGACAGCTGCGAAGATCATGTCCTTTTTGGACATATAAGTCTGCTAGTTGAGCAAGCGCTCGCTCAACAGCTGAGGATGGGTAGGTGTACTTGCGGATGAGATGTGCTCTGGATTGTAGACCGGATAATCGTAGTCGGGTGGAGCCGGAATGGTGAAGTTGATGCCAGGAATGTTCGATGAGGGTGACGGTGACATTGCACAAGGCCGGCGAGAGCTGAGAGCCAATCCCGGCTCCTCGGACTTGCAGGAAGTATGAGTTGCACGCTTTGAAAATACATGAGTCTAGTGCCAGTGCGACAATCGTGGTGATGTCGTCAGTGTATAGTGTCCGTTGTGTGGGATGTTTGCGGTGATGGCGGCCAATGTGGGCAAGCTGGATTGGATCTCCGGTGGTGTGGGTGTCAACCGTGATGGTTGGGGTGGTAAATGTGTGTTGCCAACGGTTGACAAGGCTTTGGACAGCTTGGATCAGGCGATCTTGGGGGACGGAGTTGAAGAAGCTTACCAAATCATCATTGACTGCATGGAGATCCACAGACACGGGTGTGTGCTGAAGGTAGTCGTGGAAGTGGTTCCGTGGAAAGGCCGCGCCATTGCTTCTTGGCTTTCAAGTGGACAACTCCATATGGCATCTTGAACTTGGTGTTGAAGCCTCATTTGTATTTCTGGCGAAGGTGTGGGGGAAAGGTGTGTTGAATGATGGTGGAAATGGTCTGGTCTGTATCATCTGGCAATGGTTGGAAGAGTTCTGGTGAGTGCCAGGTGGCTAAGCATCCACGAAAGTAGATGTGGGGGCAAAGGATCCGGAGGTGTTGTAGTTCATGATCGGCATGATGGAGGACAACTTCGTCGCCCAAGAATTCTTGCAGCTGCTTGACGGATCTGGCGGTGAAGCGCTCCTCGTGATGGAGTTGGAGACTGTGATGTTTCCATTGGGCGGTGAGGAAAGCGTCTATGTGGTGGGACAAAGTGGTAGGGAGTCCATGATGTCGAAGCCATTTGATCAAGCTCTTGCGAAAAGAGTCGAAATAGCGATGTTTGGTGGGAAAGAAAGTGCTGTTCACGTTGGCGTACAAGAATTGACGGAGGTGAACTGGAAGTTGTAAATCAGCGAGAGTCACGATCAAGTGGTCATCATCGGGGAGTTGGGGCGTGGGTAGCACGAGGGTGCGAAGATGAGCGCACCCACACGGGAGCTGATCGATGTCCGGGGGGCTGCCTAATTCCCATCGCCGGTGGTTGCGCAGGCGACTGCATAGTGTAGGGTGGGCCGCTACACGTACTCGGCGCGTGGGGAGGTGGAGGAGGATGGCAAAGTGCTTGCGGTGGTTGATGAGCTGGGCGAGCCAGCGCTGGACATCGGATTGGAAAAAGGGATGGGCTAGGAAGGGAATGGTCAGGGGAAGATTGCTCTTCGGTGCATGGAGTGAGGTTGCGATACGTCAATGCTTGATTGAGAAGGTGGAGGGCTCGGCTTCGTCCTGGTACTTCAAGGCTGGTGGCCATACGACGGATGGCGTAGACTTCGAGATCCGTGTATTTGCCCGAACGAAGTTGTCGAGCGGCGTCGAAAGACGCTCGTGTGTGTTTGGTGAGGTCTCGTAGGACGGTGAGGGCGTGAAGCTTGTGTGAAGGATGGGTTGGGCTGTGGAATCACTGCCTGCTGTGGGGATGGGTGCGGGGAATCTATTGGTGGAGGCACCACAAAGTCGTAGTGGACAAGCGTCGATGTAAGAGCCTGGCGAGCGTCAGGTGTGAGTGCAGCAACTGCCAGGAGTGCTTGGTTCCATAGGTCCAATGAAGTTGTTGGTGGGGACGACGTCCTTGTCGTCAATGGCGAAAGCGGAGAGATGAAATGCGGCAGGGAGCTGTGCTAGTGGCAGCTTGGGATGACACAGGGGGATCCGTCATGGCGGGGTGAGCCACAGAAATGTCGGGTAGGCTGATCGGAGCGTCGAAACTCGAGCAGAAAAAGCTGCGGGGAGGGGTAAGGGGGAAGGGTTGGGTGACTATTGGGACGGAGAAGGATGGAACCGGGGAATGCTTGCGATAGGGGATGCATCTTTTGTCGCTGGACTGAAAGCTGTGTATATAAAAGGATTGTGGGCTAAGGAGACTAAGAAAACTAAGAAAACATGGTCTAAGGAAACGGTGTGGCATCAGAAGAGGTCGTAGAAGAGGACGTAGAACAAGGAGTGATCATCATTGAAGTGCCCTCTGGTAGTCGTTCGGTCCGATGAGAGTCTTCATTTGGAAGAGGAGCTGCGCGACGCGGAGATCGAGAAGACTGTCGTGGACTGGCTGGAGGTGTCGGGTAGTTCAAAAAGTAACAGAAGGCCCGGCGAGCGTCCTGAGGAATAGCCTGCCATACGCGAAAGATGCCAAGAAGGGGTCGAGTAGTTTATGTGAAGGTACAGGAGGAGCTGACCCAGGCTGGTGAGAGGGTGCATAATTGTCTGCCGGTGAGTCGCTGACGGCATCGTGCTGATCAGTATCGAAGGAGGTGGTAGCCGAACTGGATGGCGGTGATGTAGCCATGACCAAAAAAAAAGAACGTGGAAAGAAGGCTCGATTTACGGAAATGAAGCTTGAGCACCAACAGACGGGGGTAAAGGCTGGTTTAAGTGATGTGGGTGGTCGAGAGGGGGAGTGGTTGATGCGCAGCCGCAACTTTTTCAAAAACTGATGTAATGTAGCCGGATCAAAAGTGTCTGGAGACTCTGTGAAACTGGTTACCGGGTCGCGACGATCATGGGTAGCTCGCCATAGAGAAGCATGAAGGCCGGCGCGTCCTGCTGGAGAGACACTCTGAGATGTGGTATGGCTAGATGTAGTCCAAGGCGTGGAAGTCGAAGTATCATCCGCACGTGCCGGTGGAGTGCGAGAGCGGTCTCGAGGAGGAGCTGGGCGAGGAGCAGGAGCATGACCGTGTTGCGGAGTCGGTTGAAGGCGAATTGTATCGGCAGGAGGTGGTGGCCCATCATGTGGTACATGTTGATCAGCAGGAGGTCGTAGGTCAGGTCGTGGATCAGGTGGTGAGCGACCGACCAAGGTCCGGTATTGAGCATGATGCCAGGCGTATTGCCAGGTACGAGTAAGAGCCGCCAAATCGTCATGGGGAATCTCTTGAACCTGTCGTAGAGTAGATTGGAGCTGATCGCGAGTGATGCTGAGCTGCGTCAGGACGATGCGAAATTCACGAAAGCGGTGATAGCCTTCTTCGGTAGGGAACTGATCCATAGGAGGTACTGGTTGGAGGACAACCGGATGGAGTTGGATACAGTCAATGATCCAAGAAAGCAAATTGATGGTCCAATGTAGCCACATCATCTCAGGATGGCGTACGGGACTGGATCAGGTTGTCGCGGAGACAGGTGGGGCATGGTGAAAGTACTGAACGGAGGACCTCCGCGTTCACTGATGGTGGGGGAGGTGTACAGGGACATGGCGGAGGCTTGAGATGTCAAAACGGCTGAGGGGGCGTAACCGGAATCATGGGGACATGTGGAGGGGAAGAGGGGCATGGGTGATTGGTGCGGTGGCTGCAGTTGGTCAGGTTCAGAGGAGCAAAATTGTGAGACGAATCGGAATCAACTAGGGGGAGTGTCCTCACTAGGGGCTGCCGGGAAGCCCGGAGCCGGGAGCACTTGTAGTCGGTGATGTCGGGGACGTAGTTGTCGCCGTGGGCTCAGCCATGACATGGGCAACGGAGGGGTGCTTCTTCGCTGATGTTTTATGCTTCTTGGGTATCGCCTGGATGGGTCGTTTTTTGTAGAACGAGTTTGTCGTGGAAGAGGTCGTTGTTTTGGAGATGCTGTAGGTGTAGTAGCCGGGTGCGTTGGTCGAAAAGGTGGTGCCTTTGGTGGTGGCTTTGCAGGTGGTGTGGGACGTGTTGGAGGACGGTGGTGGGAGTGGTGGCTGTTTTTGGATGGTGGTTGTGGAATCAGGGTGGATGGTGGTGTTGTCTGAAGGTGGATTGGCCAGTGCGAAGAGGCCATCGCTGGATTCTTCTGTTGAGGTTGCGGCGGTGGGGCGATGCTGGTGAGTTTTGTGATGGTGTGCGAGATGGTGGTGAAGATGGTCGGTAATATGCTGGCTGTGTCTGCTGGGAGTGCATGTTTTTGAAAGTGAGCCTCGCGTTTTGAGTGCTTGGTCCCTTGGTGTTGTCTGAGCCATGGTGGTGATGCCGTGTGCGCCGAGATCTGGATCGGGATCGTGTATGTGAACAAGAGTGGCTGGTAGTGTATGGTGATGGTGGCGGCGAGAAAGTGAACGCTTGGAGCGTTTTTTTTTGCGTGTGTGTCCTGCGTGTCTTGCGGTGAGCATTAGTGCTTTAGTGTTACTGCAGTTTAGACGTTGACCAAAAGAAATTGCTGAGTCGGTCGAAAAGAATGTTTCAACAGATGATTTTATACAATTGAAAGCAGGTACACATTCAGGCGTCCCTGAATGCTTCCACCAGTCTTCTATAGCTTCTTTGGGCAACGTAAGAAGAGTGGCCGTTGCCCCCTGCTGCTGTACAGTCTGGCAAAAGATCGAGTAGAATAGAATAGATTAGTGCCCCTTCGAACGGGGTTTGACACACACACACACACTTGGGAAAACCTCCGCTGCGGACGACGCCGCGGCGGTGGCGGACTGTCCAATGTCCGCTTCGTAGCTCCCCACTCAACTCACTGACATGGATCGAGACGAAGGCGACGATGCGCGACGGCAGAGCCCCCAGCCTGTAGGAAACCATGCAGTGCAAACGCAGAGTGGACGAAATTTTGGCGCCTGGGAAGGTTGGGCCACAATGGGCTCCGGACGATCACTCATGTACAATTGAAGACGTGATGGGGTCAAGATTCACTTGACTGAAACGACCAGGAAAAGAGAATACCAAAACGTAGAAAGCGAAAGACAGACAGAAAGAAAAGAAGCGCTCCTTGTTTGCGGTCTGATGGGCCATGCCAAATGTGGTGGGCTGCTCAAGGGTAAGGTTTGCTCTTTGGATGAGCCATACTCGGGAAACAATGCGTTCGGGGTCACCGCCACATGCCCAGAAGGTGAAAAAGCCACCCGCCTAAGTAAAACATGCAACGGGGTCCAACATCCTGAAGTTCCAAATTCCAAGTTCACGTAAAGTCAGAGTCAAGGTTCCAGTAGCCCGAAACGGATCGACTGACGAAGGCTTGTTTGCAGAATGTAGAACGGACGCAACGGCAAAACTTTTGTTCCAGTGACAACCGGGCCCAGAAGCAAGTGAGTGGTAAACACAGGAGGCACACCAAACTGATCAGGTCTGGTTTCACTACCAATTGCAAACATTTTCGTTGGCAGGGTATTGCAATGGCCCCTGCTTCTAGAGAAAGAAAGACATCAAGGAGGCCACAAAATACAATACAGCCAAAAAGTTGCCTTGTGATTCCAAAAGGTTTCACGCGCGCCTTTTTGCGTGTAAGAGTCTCCACTATTCTCCACCCACAGATGCTCAACGGCCAAAGTGCGTCAATAAAAGGTGGATGGCGTCGGACGTGGCCCTGTTGCTTTTGTTGGGTTAGCCCGGCGCATAAGAGAAGAGAAAAAATGAAGTAAATGAAGCAGGCGAGTAACTCGCGGAAGCCGGAAGCAAGACCCTCAGATTTCACCGACATACTTCTGGTTCACAAGAGTCAGACCTCTTGGGCCTGCTACCATTGTTGCCTGCTACTGAAAGGTACCGATACTATTTGGCGTCAGCAGCAGTTGACGGCCTCAGACTGATGACCCGTACAGTTAGCAGTTTGGAGGCGCAAGGGACTCAACGAAAAGAGATTTCTTTATACACTATGTATGGTCCTGATTCGCACGATAGTTATCCCACGAAAGGGAATGGGGCGCTGGATAGCGAGACTGGTTGAAATTGAAAGGACGGTCTTGAAGCAGAATATATACCAAAAGCTGATTTGTGTTTTTCGTGATGCAACAGGTTCAGGACACCCCACGCATATATAAAATGTTCATGTTGTATCATTTTGTCATAGGCCGGATGCAATAGGTCTTGGATGTTACGAAGCAAAACCACACTGGACACCCTAACTTCGAACCCAACAAGAGCACCCCGTGAAGGAACAGTTTAGAAAGCAAATCATTTACCCCTGCGGCAGTAATGTTGTATTGAAATTGCAAAATGCAATGCTAGACAGGGCCACTGAATGATTAGGAGGGAGGGAGGGTCAGTAAGTGTGATTCGTCAGATCACCGAGCTCTTTCTTTTTTGTTGGGCGCGATCCCCACTGGATGGTCCTTCTTACAAGGGAGGAAGTGGCTGGTGTACACACTGTCCCGGACCTGCCGCGGTGCTCCGAGTGGATTCAGATGTGCGATTCTTTCGTTGCGGTTGTGGGGGACCCCCGGAATGACCTTCGCTTGTTTGCTGCTATCCCGGACATCTGCGCAAGGGTGGCTACGAGTTCTGGAGATGGTTTGTCCCCCATCCCGGCAGCGCAAGTGGGGTTGGCGCGGTGCAATTCTAGGTGCATAGTACATTTGATGGGCAATGATGGTGACCCCTCGAACTTCGCGGAGAAGGACTCCTGGAACCCGGCCAAGACTCCTGAACTTTCTGCAGGGCATGAGACCAAGGCAGGGAGAGGGGCAACAGCCTCAAGCTCGGTGAGCAAGGACAACGTAGCGGTTATGGGACCTCCTCCTCGAGATGACACAGACACACAATTGGCGGCGCGTCACCGCAGAGTATACGTGCTGAAACAGGCACCGTACGTGGACTTTGCAATCTGGCTACCTTTTTGGCAGGAGAGCCCAGAAGAATCAAAATTTCAGAGCCTTCATGCCATTGGGTGATGGGTCATTTGTGATGAAGGAGCTCCCTGGACCTCAGAACCTACAACAGTGGTTGGCTTGTTGGAGAGTGTACAAGACAGCATGCATTTGCTTGGGCATCGCCGCATTGGCTTCACTGCAACTCTATGAGAAGGTCATCGAGAAGCTTGTCTTGCAGTGGCCAAAGGCGTGGGGGTTGACAGCGCAGTGCAGACGATAAGGCAAGAGCGGAAAAGTTGGAGAAGACGAGACGCAACATTGTTCTCGACATGGCATGAGGAGGAGCGGCCCCAAGGGAGTACACAGAAGTCGCCCCATGGACGGGCATGCTTCAGAGAAGTGGCCATTGATTCTGGAATGAGCAGGTGTGACATCTGGCGGCTGGGACTCACAAGTGCCTGATGCGCTTTTCACCAGCGCGCCCGAATGTGGATTGCTCAAGAGAGCCACATCGCCTTCTTGAGATCTCCTTCAGGGAGAATGGCTGGAGCTGGCGAAGCCGTGAAGACATCGGCAGCGGCGCAGTATACCTGGAGGAGCTGCGCGAAGAATATGCCAAGCTGCTGACGGTGGCGTTCAAGCACACGATGCAGCTGGAGTTCTGGCGACACACGCTGGATGCGCGAGGGAAGGAAGTCAGGGACCTCCACAAAAAATGGAACTCTGAAGGCAAACCGTCGGCGGACCCATCAAAGAGGGTGTGGGAGCAGACACAAACGACGGAGGACTATAAGCCTGAAGGAGGCCTATCCAAGAAAGCAAGGCGGGAGATTGAGGAATGAAGAATCCGGGCAAGGCAGTTGAGAAGAGTGTCAAAGATGAAAAGTGTGGGCCAGGATGTGGCCAGGCTCATGGGAGAGCTGCCGGAGCTTCGAGGACATCGTGCAGGACAAGTATGAGTTCGAGAGCTTGCTGGGCCTGGAACTTTGGGAGTCTTGGCTGCGATCCAGAGAAGTCGCCTGGATTCGGCGGTGAGCGCTGTTGGGGACGAGTGAATCGCATAGTCAGGGATCTTCCCGAGGACGGACCATGATGATGGAGACTGTCCGCAAATACCGCTCCTTCATGGACGAGCCAACGCACGCGCGCGAGGAGTTGGCGTGCAAGATTGCCAGATACGTGCCAGGCAAGCCGCAAAACGCTTCGCGACGAGAGGCACTGCTCCACATCAATATGTCTCCAACGCACGCAATTCTGGTGAGAGGCAGTTGGCGTGTTCGGACGGATGTACCGCCAGGTGGCAGTACGCATCGCTCAGGTCCGCCGTGATCAGCTCGAAATCGTAAATGCCACCTTCAGGACGGTCATGATCCAATGCCCATTGCCCTTCCTCTGCCATCTTGGGGATCTTGTCTCGCGTTTGCCACAGCCACCAGTGCGAAGCAAATCGATGATGACGCGTCTCTTGACACTGCCATCCTCCTTGGTCTTGAGGACTAACGCCAACTTCGAGACGATCCCCTTCTATAGTGCGTCTCGCTGATGGCCACCTTGGTCGGCAGCACCGCCCCAAACCCCTCCTCCTGTCCACGCAGCAGGACTTCAAAGCCAGCTCTATATGGATCGATCCAATGTGGATCATGAGAGGGCCAACGCGAGAAGACGGCGGAACCTGGCGCTGCTGCTTTACGCGGCGAGAGCCTTGGGGATCAACATGGCGTGGCGCAAGGGGCCGCGAGGCTCGCAACTCGTTTGGATAGGTGTGCGCTTTGAGATTGCGCCGGACGAAGCTGCCATGAAGCTCACGATCCCGAAGAAGATGCTGGAAGAGACACATGGGCAAAGAAGGGGATGGTGAGCACGCGCGAAGCACAGCAGCTGACCGGCAGGTTGTCCTGGGTAGCTGGCATCCTGCCATGCGCAAGGTGGGCGGTCACCAACCCAGGATCATTGCGGACGCCAAAAGGTCCGAGGAAGGATGAGATCCGCAGGACAAAGGTTCTCCACACCATGGTATTCCACTCGAACCTTTTGTGACATTGCTTGAATTTGCTTTTTCGGCGGCCAGATGATGTTCGGCAGCAAGTGCGGTGATGTTGGTCGGCTTGCCGGAAACCTGAGCATGAGCCCACCAGGAAAAGGTAGGCTACGCATCAGCACGAAGCTTGATGGTTTGTGACATAGATCTTCAGCGCCCGCAACATGTTTTTAGCTGTTGGAGATGTTGCTTGGGCTTATTTGTCATGTTTCACAAGTTGTCCTGCTCTGAGTCCCACAGAAGTGTAAAATTCCCGGAGGTTTTTGTTTTTGGGGTGCACGTCAGGCCCAAGTCCACCCAACAGTATCATTATGTATCAAGTTCAAGTCAGAATTCAGCGCCCAAAGCTAGCAGTCATCATATGTGCAATTACTGTTTGCGGCCCCATGCCAAACCTGAAGGTGGCGCTTCGCTTTCATTCACTTCTGGTGGCACCTTGCTTGGTTTCCCGCAATTTGCTCAATTTGTTCAAGCGTGATTCAATTTTCCGTCGTCTTCAAAAAAACAAGGTCGTCAAGCAACGGACCTATGTTGGCTCTGGCAGTTTCGAGTCCAGGCGGACGTCATTTCAGGACTCTTTCATACTCTTTCGTCCTTGCAGATGCCCTTGACCTTTTTGTGTGTTAGCAAATCAGTCTTAGAGCACCAGCGCCAGAACCCAATGCCCTGACCCCAACAGAGCATCAACGTAAGCGTAGAGGGGTTTGCAGACATGAATTAATAAAGGTGCTCTACGTGAATGATCCGCAAACCTGTGGATGTGAAGGTTCCGAAATGCTCTGAGCACGACTCTGTCAGAATTCGACGTCGATCCAGATTCTATGGGCGCGAAACTCTGTACAAATAAGTGGCCTGCCGACTGGCAAAATATCAGCAATGTTTTTTGTTTGCACTCGCAACTTCTCTTGTTAGTCAGCAGCAGACATCTTCATCGGTCACTGTCATGGGTTGTGGCCAAGGTCTCAAAATCATTGTCAGCTTGCGTGTGCTTTGGATGAAGACGCCCTTGCGGACACCTGCCACAGCCTCAAAAGTTGACCTGCCCGGCCTGCCTCATGATATTGTTCCAAGCTTTCTGTGAAGCTGAGGCCTATTTCGTAGCATCTCACTTGGACAAGGGCTTGCAGGCAGGTCATATACTGTACCAATGTTTCAGCTCAAGACATCAAGCCATGCGCAATCCGGAAACCGTTTTCTTTCTATTTGGTTGGCAGCAGCTTCCTTTTATGGAAACCTGTAGACAAAATCGGTCTATTGTTTTGAGCTGAACATGCAAACCCGTTGACCTTTGACCGGTTTGCGTTTGGCCGCACATGGTTGAATCTGAACACATGGCGTTGCAAGAACGAAGATCTCCTGGAATACTTTGTTTGGAAAGCGCTTGAGCAAGAGGTCCGCGTGAGCACGGATTCATCATCGAGAACAGGTCGCGGAAAAACATTCAAAACCTACGCGGCAGAGCGTTTTCAACAAGAACGCACGACGCTTTTCACAGAGGTTCCAAGCCGAACACCTTGAATGATTTTTCCAGGCATTTGAAACTGCACGGTTTGCGCAACACTCATAATATTTTGACCAAAATTCGCTTACGTGGAAATGAGCCTGGCGTTTTTTGCCCAACAGCAATCAATTTGCTTGTCACATGACATTTCCAGAAAAAGAACAGAAGGTACGTTGACGCGAGCACTGCGTGAGCGTCTTCGGTGGCTCGAGCTCGTCTCACGCACGGCTCTCGCTGCAAAATTTACATTCTTCCTTGGGAACAATGTTTGACGCACTTAGTCACAGGTTCATCCAGTATCAGAATCCACGTCGAAAGGAGCGATGGAACAGAAAGGCGCAAAATCGGCTCAACTGAAATGTTCAACAATGTTGCACGTGACTGCGGAAAGCTGCGGCGGCGGTGGCTCAGCTGCAGAAAATTGGGTCTGTGGGAACCATCATGGAAAACCGCCATGGAGAACAAAACGACAGCGACGGTATCAGTGGTGTCAGTGTGTTGGCTGCAGGTACGTTAGTTCCACGTCTGGAACTGATATCCTCACCAGGTATTGCCAGCTTCGTTGGTGGAGAAGCAATACCGGTGTCTCCACCCCCTGCAAAGTTCGTAGAACCCTGCAGAAGTGAGTTGGGACACGTAAAACTCTTAGAAGCAGAGTGTGACGCACACACAACATGCCGATTATCGGCGATTGTGTGTGAAGGTTTGTCTTTTTTCTCTTTTCTCAAAAAGCGTCCGCGCATCTTCTTCAAAATCTGGAATGGAACTCCGAAGAGTTGGAACATACACAAATTTTTGGAACACGCAAAAAGGAGGCATGAGCGATGCAACATGCAACATGAGAAGTGGACATGCACCGTGAGCAGTGGTGAAATCCGTTCGCCCGGCGGCGTCCAGCCCGTATGCCCGGCCGCGTAAAATCATTCATTCATGGGCGAAACAAAGACACAAACCAGAATCCACGGTGGCTGCGCTTCGAGTCAGAAAAAGTGATTCACGAACGGCTTCAGCGCCTCTCTTGCGAGAGGATCACACTGTGTACCCAGTGGGAAGACAGCGATACAAAGAACAAGAGAAAGGGGAAAAGAAAAGAACAAGGAGGAAAGCAAAAAGTCGCGAGCTCCCGAGCATGAGTGCTGAGTGCGCGGCAAACTACTTAGGATGTGTTCCTTCTGGAAATACTGTGTGTTGGAGGAAAGTGCAAAAAGCCGAGCATGTCCGGCGCTAGCAAGGGAGGAGAAAGCAGAGAATAGAAAGACAACCAGAAGGAAGAAAATCATTGGGAGGAGGGGGGTGTTGAAAAGTCAACTGCGTGAGAATGAAATAACACTGGGTACCAGTGTAGTGTCCAGTTGCTCTGCGGCTTAGAAGCAGCCTCTTGGAGACTGAACCGAAGAAGCAAGAACGAAGATTGAGAAGTAACCCTTCAGAAATGAGTACGCGAAGCTGGCGCCCAAAGCTGGGATCACACAGCGCGCCACAGTGGGGCGATGCTGCCAAAGAGAGCTCGGAAGGGCGCAATTCAGTGTTGTTCCGTTGTGCGTTAGCCCTTCACCGTTACAAGTAGACCTTGGCTGGCGAACAGAAAGGCGAGAAGTCCACAGTCAACGGAAAAGTTAAAGACGCGCAAGCCGGCCAAAAAACAAGAGAACCTGTTTACTTTATTTACAAGCAGTGGCCAACGGCAGTTGCGCACTTTGGCAACATCGAACCACAATGTTCCGCGCATTTCGCGCGAAAGGGTCGCTGCCGACATTGAAATCGTAATACTCCCACAGTTCTTGACACTTGACACGCATTTCGCGCGAATGTGTTGCCACCGACACCTTGAACTCGCAAAATCCCTGCAGTTTCGCGCGACAGGGTTGCCACAGTTGCCACTGACCCACCGAAATTGCACTACTCCCGCAGTTTTTTAACGCTTGACACCCATTTCGCGCGAAACGGTTGCATTTCGCGGCGCCTCGGCGGCTCAACCCCCAGCCTAAGAGAGAAAGAGAATACGAAAAGAGAAGAGAAAGAGAGAGATGACGGAAAGCGCTGTAGCGCTTGGAAGTATTACCGAAAGGGGGGGGGGGGGGGGGGGGCCAAGCTGATGACGGAAAGCGATGAATATCGCTTTGAGTTGCTCCCCGGAGGTTCTGCTGGGGGGGGGGGGGGGGGGGTGAAAGTTCGAGATTTTGATTTGCAGACTTTTGGGGTGTCTTGAGGCAGGATCGAAGGTGCAAAAAACACTGTAATTTACAGTAAAAAGTGGCTTTGGGTGGGTTTGTGTTGAGCTTATTTGCCCTCAAAAAGTTGCATTTTACCTGCACGGGAGGCAACTTTTGATGTTTTTATTGTTTTCTGGCATTCAAAGGTTTTGAAGGGCAATGTGCATAAAACACTGTAAAACACAGTGAAAGATGAGACTTTTTGGGCTCATTAATGCACTGTTTTTTGACAAACTTGGCCCCAACATTCCACAAGGGCATCGAATACAAAAATGACAGAGAAAATGCTAAAAAAGTCGGCGGCGTTCCACAGCACCACTTGCATCACTACGAGGCGCATGGGAGGCACAAAGATTACAGAAGAGACGGAAACAAAGCAAATCAACTTAAGATGAGAACTTTTTTGTCACCAAGGCCCACAAGAAGACAGAAAGAGCACAGACGAGACAAAAACAAGGCAAGTCAACTTAAAGCAAATCAACTTAAGATGAGAGTTTTTTGACACCAAGGCCCACAAGAAGACAGAAGGAGCACAGAAGAGACAGAAACAAAGCAAATTACTGTAACTTAAGAGTTTTTTGACACCAAGGCCCACAAGAA